CTTCAACTCCCAGAATTCCTCACTGAGGAATTCTGGGAGTTGAAGTCCACAAGTCATAAAAGGGCCAAGTTTGAAGACTCCTGATCTTGGCCATGTTTCATCTTGACAGTGATGGTGAGACATCATCGCAGGACTTTACACACATTTGATAGTGATCCAGTGATGGAGGAGTTGCTGTTTTGATGCTTTATTTTTTTGTTAAAAAAAAAGCATACTCCAGCAACAATCAGCAGCAGTAAGATCTTGAGAAATACAATTGTTTAAAAATATAGTAAGTAAATGTAGCACATAATAAATACATGAGTTTGCTGCATTGTGAGATGGGGAGGTATTTTAAGCCCTCAACAAGATCTATTCAACCCACATGTTGCCCATTCCTGTATTAAAAAAATAAGATGAGGATTTTCTCAAGAGCTTTATATTATTACCTACCATGATTTTCCTGTCCTCCATACCTTTGACAGTTGGAATGGGGAGAGCCATTATTTTTCTTCGTAAGAATGGCCTTGTAAAAACATTATGCACTAATGTTGCAAGATTCCCATGACATATTTTCTCAGCAATCGGGAAAAAAACCATCTTTTTTTTTTTAAAAAAAGGACAGTCATATCTCTGCCTGAAGTGAGAGCAAAACTATTCTTAGGTCAGGGGTCTTCAAACTTGGCCCTTTTATGACTTGTGGACTTCAACTCCCAGAATTCCTTAGCCAGGCACGCTGGCTGAGGAATTCTGGGAGTTGAAGTCCACAAGTCATACAAGGGCCACGTTTGAATACCCTTGTCTTAAGTTAAGAAATGATTTGGAAGCCCTCACTGAACCCCCACAAAGCCTCATTCAGTCTTTGGGAGGGTGTTTTGACTTCTGATGTAGTGAGAAATGCTGAACCGATTATATGGATCCAACATTAACTGGAAACAGTAGAGAACTCATACAGTCATTGGTGACTGGGCACATACAGGTAGTCCTTGACTTAGGACAGTGATGGCAAACCTTTTAGAAACCGAGTGCCCAAAAACTGACCCTGCCCCCGCTCCACCCCCTGCCCCGCCCCCACCCCGCCTGCCCGCAGCGCCACTCACCGCTTCCAGGGCCCGCCACAGATTGCCCAGGCAGCCCAGCAGCACCATGGCGGCCACGCCCTCTGCCCGTGCCCCGCATATCCTTGGCTGCGCTGCTCCGCGTGGGCCACGCTCGGGACAATGCTCCTCCAGGGGGGCTGCTGGTGAGGGGGTCGCGGGGGAGGCAAGGCTGGGGCAACGGCACGTGTGCCCACAGAGAGGGCTCCGAGTGCCACCTCTGGCACCCGTGCCATAGGTTTGCTACCACTGACTTAGGACAACAATTGAGCCCAAAATTTCTGTTGCTAATCAAGATAGTTGTTAAGTGAACTTTGCCCCATTTTATAATCTTTCTTGCCATAGTTGTTCCTTAAATCACTGCAATTGCTAAGTTAGTAACATGGTTGTTAAGTGAAGCTGGCTTCCCCACTGACTTTGATTGTCAGAAGGTCGCAAAAGGGGATCACATGAACCAGGGACAGTGCAACCGTCATAAATATGAGTCAGTTGCCAAGTGTCTGAATGTTGATCACACGTGACCATGGGGATGCTGCAACAGTCATAAATGTGAAAAACAGTCATAAGTCACTTTTGCCAGTGCCCTTGTAACTTCAAACAGTCACTAAATGAACTGTTGTAAGTCAAGGACTCCCTGTATGAAGACCTGACTGAGCAACCTACTACTTACAGTCTGCATGTAATTCTCAGAACCCCTTGAGTTTGCCACCGAATTTTAGTTTCAATCATATGGTTGCAGATGTTTTCTACTTTTTGATATACCCTCCCCCCCCTCATGGATGACCCTGTTCAGGGCTGATTGCCCACCTTGTTATAAGATAAATTAGTTACAAGTGATTGGCACATTACACTTTCTCTTTGATGAATTGTCAGAATTCCCATACGAATGCAAAGATAGATCAAAGATGAGAAAACAAGTGATCTTCAGTTAGCAGGACAAAACCTAGAGGGAAATGAGCTTTCATATTTGAATTTGCTTTGTTTTGTTTTGTTTTAAATGAACTTTCACAACTGTGATATAGATCAAAAAATTTTAACATCCAAGATTTATAGTCATTTGAGAAGCAAACCGGATGAGTCATTAATTGTGAGGTTATTCAGCACTCCAGGTTTAATCAATGCTCTTTATGGGGCAAAAACATTTTCAGCAAGAAAGTTTGTGCAAACACATACATACTCATCCTACAGTTAAAAGTTCATTGAAAAAGGAAGTGAAGTATGTGTTGAAAAGAGAAGAAGAGAGAATGCTGCAACAGACTGCCTTCCTGCTTTGTAGTTCCATTTTATTGCCAAGAAACTTAGAGAAGGCGGAAAACTTATCCATAGGTCTGTAGAGACCGGGATCTTGGATCACCTGTGACTTTTCATTTCTTTGTGTTGGATCCCAATGACCTACAAGATGCAGTTAAAGCGACTCTTATCTCATTTCTAGACCCAGCTCCTCCAAGATCACTCTTTGCGGTCAATAAAACCCAGACCTCTGTGACTCTCTTATGGGTAGAAGAAGGAGTAGCTGATTTCTTTGAGGTTTTTTGCCAGCAGATTGGCTCAGATCATGAGACAAAGATTCAGGTATGTGTTTTTATCCTTTATCAATTTTGGATCGTTCCTGAGATATTTAACCTGCGTGGCTCTGATTTGAATTCTAGCCTCTTTTTGCAAGAATCGGTGCAAGATAAACTTTTAAGTGAAAAGACACAGCTTGAGCCAGTGGTGTTGCTAGCTTTGTTGATATACAGGTTTAATTTAAAAGAAACGTATTACTCCTAGTTGTTACTTAGCATATATAGAGACAGCAACTAACTCTGGCATAATGACACAAGCCCTATCCTTTCCTACATGTGTCTTGTTGCATGAATGCTGTAAAGAAATGGAGCTTCTGCTGGATACCACCACATATAGGATAGAAATGGAGCTATACCAGCTAGCCACCATCCCAGTCTTCAAAACATTTAGGCTTCCAGTCAACCAAGAACTAGATAGTTAGATTCGAGTGGGCTCCTTTCCCACATTCGGTTGAATCCTGGAGAGCAATTGGCTGAGTGTCAGAACCTTAACAAGAGTCATGACTATTGAATACAGCCTCTTTCTCTTCAATATGTGAAAGAGCTTTCCTGAGAGTAAATTATTCAGATATCTTCCCCATTGCAGTATACAAGACCATTGCAAATGTTGAATTTCAAGACTTCAGAAGGGTTGAAAGAACTCTGTCTGAAGCTGTTGTCTTCCTTTAGCTGCTGTCTAAAATACTTTAAGTTCCCAGTTCTATTTGTTATTTCATAATTGCCCTTGTTAGTACTTTTGTAGTTAACATTTTCACTATCTTAGTATTTCTTGCAACATTCTTAACATCCGACTGTTCTGAGCAGAACAAATATTGCTTTTGTTCTCCTGAAGTTGTATTTGGGGTAGGTTTGTTTTTTTAAATTGACCCCCTATTCTATTTCAGAGATTTTAATTAATGTCAAACTAAATCTCCAGCTTGGAAATCTAAAAATATCTATGTTTGATTGGAATTAAAGTCCATTGATACCAATATCTTATTATTCACGGTGGGTGGCCAGAATAAATTTATACCTGGGATAGAACACTTGAAATCAGAGGGCTTTCAAGTCTTTGCTAACTCAAACAGTTTCCTCTAGATTGGTGGTCCCCAAGCTTTCCAACTTGGCAGCCCGGCATGGGGGGGAGGGGGTGGTTCTGTGCAAGTGGTAGGTGTGTGAGCGTGTTCAGTTCCATTTGTGCAAGCAGCAAACGTACGTGCCCGCCATTTGCACAAATGGAGCTTTGCGTGTGAGTGCGAGTGCCCACCCCTCATGAAGCCTGGTTCCAAACAGGTTGTGGCCCACTAGTGGGTCGTGGCCTGGGGGTTGGGGACCCCTGCTCTAAATATTACTAACTCTGAGCCAATCCATTATTCCCATTAGCTATCCTAGGTACTATGTAATGATGTCTGCGTCTGAAAATTAAGCCCACTCACCCAAGATCTAACTCACTTCAACTGAAAGCAATGGGTGGCCTTAAGAGAGAGAACATATGCACAAGTTTACTACCTTTCAGATAAGGTTGGGGTCTCTGGTTGAGCAACTGGAGAACTATTGTCTGTTAGCATACACAAATGAGCTAATAGATCTTTCTTTTTTGTACTATGTCACTCATCACTACCTGCAATCTTATATAGGAGACATATTGGGAAGAAGAGATTCCCAAAACAGGGATGCCAGAGATTTAAATAGCCAACTGCTACCTTCAACTAAGGATAAAATATAGGGCTATAATACTTTCTAGAACTTGCTTTAAAAAAGGAAGATATAATTATAGAAAAGGTGTTGTCTGAGTAAATAAAGTGTGCTAAAGGCCACGAGGAAAAAAAATGACAGTTCACTGTCTGGACTCATTATTGAATCACCTGAACGCTCATGTCTTTGACGCACATTGCATCCTGAAAGGCATACGGACCAATACATGAGACAGTTGCATAAACCAGGATGTGGTTTATTGCTGGCACAGGCCACAATAGAAATATGGTGAAGCTGCCATTGAATTGCTTTATTGTGGACCTATGTTGCAGACAGTTTCATCCGTACCTCTTGCAATATCCTCATATTTAGAGAAGTATTAACTAAATAAACAGTGGGCTGGGTGAGCATTCCATGATGTACCCACTTAACCTCTTAATTGTAGCAAAAAAATATAAGAATGAGCTCAAAACTCAGTTCATAAGCAGGGCCTAAATCCCCTCTGATTTCAGATCCTGCGTAAGATCAGAGGTAGGCAAAAAAAAAAAAGAATCCTAACCATATACTTTTTTCCTTCCCAACATGAAACAGGAACCAGTTACCGTTTCTTCTCATGTCGTGACAGTCTCCAGCCTTCTGCCTGCCACTTCCTACAACTGCAGTGTTACAAGTTTCAGTCATAACACCCCCAGTGTCCCCACCTATATTTCAGTTTCCACTATGGGTGAGCCAAGTTCTTCAAATTCTCCGGTTAAGCATTTCTCCAAAATCAGATTTAATGCTTTCCTTTCCCATTTCTACTTTGAACAGAGTGGTTAGAGTGAATACGTAATCACCAAAAAACAACAACACTGATGTTATTTTAAATATACCAGAAATGGGGATTATGTAACTGTCCTTTATTTACAGGCAGTTCTCGTTATCTGTCAGTTCTGCATTTGCAAATTTGCTTATTCATTAAAATCTATTTGTAAGTCCAAAATCAATACATGTGTTGCTGTCATGCTTACTGGTGGACATGTGGAACAGCAAATCACTGGGATTGCCCTATGGGCATGTCCCCAGCTGAGGTTTCAGCATTATTAATTCAGTATTCATGGCATTTTTAGAGAACTACCAAAAATAATGAGAATTGCCTGTATCTTTTTACTCTGTGTTGGGGTTCATATATAATGTGAGTTGTTTGTCTTTGACTTGTGCAATGTCAGCTGTCGTAGTTTGCAAATCAGGGTTTAAGGCTGAGTGAAATGGATGAATTCTGCCAACGTGATATCATGTAGATGTTGTCCTTAGGCTTAGACTTTTAATCTCATTGGAAAGCAGATCTGCCTCACCCTTTTATTTGTATGCAAAGACTTGCTTTCTGGCTGACATTGGCCATACCAGAATGTCAGTTTTAGGCTGCAGTTTTCTATCCACTTACCAGGGAGTAAGTCCTTCCCAATGAAGGGAACCAAAGTAAGCATGTATGGGTTACCGCTTAATTCCCACGATTTGTTCATTGAAGAAATCTAAAAAGTCGGAAAGATATTTTCTGAGAATATTAGGGGGAAAAAAATCCTCTAGAAATAAAAAGCCTGTCAGAAGGCAATGTTTTACCTCTTTTAATTTTATCATGTCACTTTATGGGAATGCCAGTATCAATTGCTTTCATTAACTCGGATCCTGTGTTCCTATTTGCAGTTGTGGAGATGAATCCTAACGTGGTGGTCATTTCTATTCTCGCCATTCTGAGCATTCTTCTGATAGGGCTCTTGCTTGTAACACTGGTGGTTCTTCGGAGAAAACATCTACAAATGGCCAGGTAGGACAACATACCTTCTAATACAGTACCAAGGTCTTCTCAAAAGGTAAATGTTCAATTATATGTACTGTAGCAGGGGAGCAGTATGAATTGCTCCACATTTAGAATTCTTTATTAGAATCCTCTATTAGCCAAGTGTGGTTGGGCACACAGGGAATTTGTCTTCGGTGCATAAGCTCTCACTGTACATACAGGTAATAGTGATAATCACGATCATAAACAACGTGAAAATATATTCACAATTCGTAAAACACAACACTTCATCATTAATCATAAGAGGCAACACTTAGGGATAGTCATAGGATACTAGCTAAGCAAACAACATAAATCAGGGGTGTCAAACTCAATTTCATTGAGGGCCACATCAGCATTGCGGTTGTCCTCAGGGGGCCAGGTAGGTGTGGCTAGGGTGGACGTGGCCTACTAGGTGAGCGTGGATGGAGTGGGTGTGGCCTACTGGGTGGGCATGGTCAGCTCTACATCATTCGCGTCAAGGGTGCCTGTGGGGGCCTGGGCAGGAGTGGGACAGATCTGAGGGTCTCTGGCAGAAGGGGGTGGGACCAGGGCAAGCGCCAAGGCATGGTCCACTGGAAGAGCCTGCCGAAACCCCTCCCCCGGAGCCCATCAAGCCAGATATATGAAGTAGGCGAGGGCCATTTGCTGGCCACTTCCAGGCAATGGTGTATTTCTTCATTCCTCACAAAGGGTGACACCTCCCCAGCATGCACCCAGTAGGTGGGGCCGATGCGGCAGGGGCTGGTTCCTCGCTGTTTCCAGACGGCCTTGTGGAGCTAAGACTGAATGCGTTTCAGCATAGATGGCTACCACAAAATTGTACATTGGCTACCGGCCGGCCTGGGCCAGGGCCAAGGCAGCAGGGGCCGTTCCCTCACTGTTTCCAGGATGGCTTCGCGGGCCACATGAAACCACTTCGCGGGCCGCATCCGGCCCCCGGGCCTTGTGTTTGACATGTCTGACATAAATCATACAAGGATACTAAATAAAACAATATAAATTGTAAGATACAAGCAACAAAGTTATAGCCATAAGAAGATAAGGATAGGTAATAGGAAAGATGAGAATAATAGTAATACAGCTTCACTAAGTAGTTTGACAGAGTGGTAGGAATTGGTTGTTAAAAAGAGTGATGGCATGAGGGGAGGGGAACCTGTCCTTGTGTGTCTAGTCATTCTGTTGTGCAATGCCCTGTAGCATCGTCTTGAGGGAAGAAGTTGAAACAGTTTATGTCCAGGATGTGAGGGTTTTATACGGCATTGCACAACAGCCCTCTTTCCTGCTCGTGCAATAAACAGGTCCTGAAAGCTGGTAGCAATTGTTTTTTCTGCAGTTCTAACTATCCGTTGAAGTCTGTGTCTGCCTTGTTTGGCTGCAGTTCCAAACCAGACAGTTACAGAGGTGCAAATGACAGATTCAATCATTCCTTTGTAGAACTGGATTTAACATAAGGACATACATGGATTTTTGATGGCTTTAACGTTTTCAGTAGATTCACCGCAGAAGTATGTGATGAAGATCAATTCATTTATATATAGAATATAGAATAACAGGGTTGACAGGGACCTTGGAAACCTTCTAGCCCAATCCCCTGTTCAAGCAGGAGACCCTGTACCATTCTGGACAAATCCAGTCCAGACTCTTCTTGAAAATCTCTAGTGATGAAACACCCACAACTTTCAAAAGCAAGCCGTTCCATTGATTACTTGTTCTCACTGTCAGGGAATTTCTCCTTAATTCTAGGTTGCTTCTCTCTTTAATGCTCTCCCATCTGCTACTTCTTGTCCTGCCCTCAGGTGCTTTGGAGAATAGATTAACCTCTTCTTCTCTGTGTGACAGCCCCTCACATTTTAGAAGACTGCTATCATGTTCCCCCTAGTCCAGGGGTAGGCAACCTTGGCTCTTTTATGACTCGTGGACTTCAACTCCCAGAATTCCTGAGCCAGCCATGCTGAGGGGAAAGGGAGAGGTTTCCAAGCTGAGCCATGCTGGCTCAGGAATTCTGGGAGTTGAAGTCCACGAGTCATAAAAGAGCCAAGGTTGCCCTAGTCCTTCTTTTCATTAGACATACCTAGTTTCTATAACCATTCATCATATAGTTTAGCCTCCAGACCCCTTATTATCCTTATTATTATATTATACTCCTTACTGCTCTTGTCTGCGCTCTTTTTATATGTGTAGATGAATTGCCCAAATAAGCAAGAGAGGAATTTAAATAGAAGCAGGATTGTCCCCTTAGAATTGCTGTGCACCATTAGACTGCAGGACCTGCATTAAATCAGAAATTGGGCTAGCCTTCTCCAATTGGGTCTCCTTCAGACTTGGTACTTTAACTTTCAGAATTCTCATTCAGCATTAATGAAAATGGCGGAAGTTGAAGTTCAACACATTTGGAGGACATCAGATTGAGGCAGATCTCTTCTAGCATGATGGTTCTCTAGCAGACCTTCTTGCTTTAAGGTCCCTACCCCTTCCATTCCCATTCTTTATCTGAAGATTAAGACCACCCTCTCGCCAATATAAATCAGAACTCTCTGATTCCACAGACATCTAGCAACATCAGAAAGTAGTCTTTAAATTAATGGATTGTTGGATTAGTCCTGAATCAAAATCTGTCTAGTTTAGTTCAAAGTCCAACATTATGTTCAATGGAGCTTACTTTTAGCAATCATATTTAACACTATAATCGTAACTGATTTGCATGTTGCTCCAGTAAATTCCCAGGTTTCAGCTGACCAGTAAATTCTTACAAAGAGCTATTCTCCAATCAGCCAGATACCATATTATACACACACAGATGCACTGTATATAGCAGGGATCCCCAACCCCTGGGCTGCAAATTGGTACTGGTTCATGGCCTGTTAGGAACCAGAGCATGCAAGTGAGCAAAACTTCATCTGTCTATGTGCAGGAGCTAGGCAGCATGTGAAACCACGTCCCCCATTGCCAGTCTGTGAAAAAATATATAGAAACTAATTCTCTCTTGCAGGCAATACTGCAGCAAATTGGTTTTACACTTTGAGCTTGATGGTTTTATAGTTCCCACCTAGCCCTTCTGTTACAACATCAAGTTCAGCATTACTTTCACATCTGTCTGTATCTTTGGTTGCTAAGGTTCCTAAGCTCCACGCCAATCTTTTATCACTATCCTCACAGTTTTCAGTAAAACCCATTAAACAGCTCATTTGTACAATAGTGTTGCTTCTGGGAAACTTTCTGGCTTACAGCAAAACTGTTTTCTAAATCAAGGTGTTGATCATCAGCAGAGGTGAGGCAGCTGTCAGCAGTCATTTATTTCAGGACCCTTAATCCCATCCTAATTTGCATTCCAAGTAATTTGCAACCATAACTGTTCTTGGAGACCAACAACAACTAAAGAACTGCAGGTTTTAACCATCCTCAGTCTTCCCTTTGTAACAAAAAGGAAAATTGTCTAGTATATCTTGTTTAAATTTAAATTGATAGACTCTTGCCAAGAATGTGATTTTTTTTATAAATCCATCAATAATAATTTTGAATCTTCCCAACTAGGGAATGTGGAGCAGGAACATTTGTGAATTTTGCTTCATTGGAAAGAGATGGGAAACTTCCGTACAACTGGTAGGTATATGTCAGAAGATTTACAATATAGATTTTTTTTTCCTTGCAATGTATAATTGTTACATTGACTTCTTTAAGGTGGATGTTAATATTGAAAGTCTAGCCATTAGACCCCAGTGATTTTTTTTTAAAAAAATTGCTTTTAATATAGTAGAGTATTATTTCTCCTGACATAATGTGGTAAGAACATTTCAAGTTACAGAATTAAACTTTACTTGAGAGATATTCTGTTCCACTCTAATTTCCCATAAAAGTTTTGGCAGTCCAACAGAATGCAGGGACCAGGTTATCTCAAGTAATTATCTTCTAATCCAAACTTGCTGTTAAAGGAGCGGTATGGTTTCCTAATTAAAATGGCATTATGATGTTTAAAACAGTTAGGCTTTATGAACAGAAGATTCAGACCTCAAAGAAGTGAGAATCTCTTTTATCTACGGGAGTATGTGTAAAACTAATCCCCTTATTTATGGGTGCTTCTAAAAATGGGTACCACGAAACTGAAAAATGGCTCTTAAAGGTCAAAAAAGACTGCAGGAAGACCCCCTGTGCTGTCTGATAGAAAATGCCTTTTCCTCGTCCTGGTTTTCCTAGTGCAATGTGAAAAGTAGAATATCAAAGTTGAGTATTGCACATTAAAATGTATCAGTAGGCTTTCATTTTTAATGTGTTTTCTTCATGCACTTTTTTCTTTGTGTGGTTTTCATCCTTTTTCCCAGAAGGTGAAACAGAATACAGTGAATCCCCTTTATTTTCTCAGGGCCATGACACAGATTCTGGAGGTGGAGGGAGGAAGGGTGGGAGGGGGAGAGGGAGAGGGAGAGGGAGAGGGAGAGGGAGAGAGAGAGAGATCCCAAAGTGACAAAGCCCCTTATTTAACTCCTCCAATTAAATTATCTATTAAAATTTTTTATTGATTTTTATAATTAAACAATAAGTAACAATATGATGCATTTGTATACACAAACAGAAAAAACAATCCAAATCAATACATTGTCGGAAACGCTCGGCAGTCCCCGCCTTGCCTCCACCCTCCCTCTAACCCACAACCTCTCCTCCTTCCTCCTTCCCACCTACCTACGTCCCCTCTCTTCCTGACCACGTCCTCGAGTGCAATTTGGGGTACCAGCCGAGCATTTCCTCATATCAATACAATTATTATTTACCTATAACATGTAAATACATCAATTTTTATAATACCCCTAATCCCCTTCCCCCCCTGGGCTTCCCGGAACCAAATACAGGATTACACATCCCATTCCATATCTAAATTACAATTTAACTAAACAAACAAACATAATACTATCAATATATACCTACTTTAACTCTAATAAGGCAATAAGTAAAAACCATATATCTACTCAAAAACGATGTAATATTTATTCACTCCATACTTTCTCTAAATATTGGATTATATCCAATTAAATTATTTAATATATTTTAGTTTCAATTAAAAATGAGGAATTTCAAAGCCAGTAGGATGACCCTCTTTATGATTGTCATGAATTACAACCTTATTTTGCAGTGTTCATTAAGTGAATGTGGCAGTTAAGGGCTCAATGAAATTCCTGAAAACCTTGGCTACAGCCCCTATAGCTCTTCCAGATGTTGCACCCAATTACAATGTTTAAGATGACAGAGGATATTTCTAAACACCTGGGAAGTTATCAGTTATTATATTTAACTGTAGCCTATTAAGTGAGCTTTAAATTAAATCAGCTTGGGGTTGGAAAAGATCTTGGAGGTCTTCTAGTCCAACTGTCCGATCATATTTGTGGGGTAGGGGAGAGTGGGGGAAGTGCAGCTCCTGGCATGCTCTTCAATGTTCCAAAATGACATTTGGGGCAGACAGAATAACAGAGTTGGAAGGGACCTTGGAGGTCTTCTAGTCCAACCCCTTGCTCAAGCAGAAAACCCTATACCATTTCAGACAAATGGTTGAACAGTCTCTTCTTTAAAACCTCCAGTGTTGGAGCACCTACAACTTCTGGAGAAAAGCCATTCCACTGATCTGTTGTTCTCAATGTCAGGAAGTTTCTCCTTAGTTCTAGGTTGCTTCTCTCCTTGATTAGTTTCCATCCATTGCTTCTTGTCCTGCCTTCAGGTGCTTTGGAGAATAGGTTGACCCCAAAGCACCTGAAGGCACAGGACAAGAAGCAATGGATGGAAGCTGATCAAGGAGAGAACCAAGCTAGAGTTAAGGAGAAAGTTCCCTGTTTTCTTTTACAAGAGCACCAATTAGGAGAGGGAAGAGCCAGGTTCAAAACTGTCTTCAGCTATGGAAGCTCAGGGTCATTTTGGGCAAATAACTGTTTTTCAACCCAACTGAAACAGAGGTTTATTGTTCCGGTGAAAAATTGGGGGAAGCAGTGCTGTTTTTCCTGGAGCTTAGATTCTCACAAAGCATAGCAAATACAGAGTTAACTAATAAAAAAGAATATCACTGACAATTTACAACAGACTTTATCCATCTTGCCTCTACTCAGGCCAGCACTTTTAATTTTTTATCAAGAAGAAAATTTGAGTCGTATTTTTAAGCCTCAAGAGGGCATCGTCGGTCTTTCAAACTTTCACAAAATCTCATTTTCCATCATTTTCTGGACAGGATCTTGACAAATCCATATAAGTTGCTAATTAAATCCAAGGAGTCTATCCTTTACAGCAACCAGGTTTAAACAGTTCTTTTATGCTTTCAGGACCAAGTTAGAGAAATGTAGCTTTAATGGGCAGAAGGAATAACCTTGAGAACAGGAGGAAGAGATGCAACCAAGACAGTGATCAGATAAAAGATATCTGAGCCTGGGGCAGAAATGTAATTTGAGAAAGTATCTGAGACAAGCTCTTCTCTAATTCTCTTGAAGAAAAGGGGAGGTGGGGGAGGCACATTCAGACTTATAAGAGTCTGTTACCTTATAACAGTGATGGCGAACCTTTTAGAGACCGAGTGCCCAAAACTGGCCCTGCTCCACCTCCCGCCCTGCCTGCTCTGCCCCGCCCACACACAGGGCCATGCACCACCTCCATGGCCCGCCGCAGCAGATTGCCTAGGCAGCCCTGAAGCCCCATGGCAGCCACGCCCTCTGCCCACACCTGCAGCATCATCTGCATGCTATAAAACATGAGGGCAGAGTCTTGTCCCTGCTGCCCAGCTGCCATATCCTTGGCTGCGCTGCTCTGTGCGGGCCGCGCTCAGGGGTGACTCTCCTCCAGGGGGGCTGATGGTGATGGCCGTGGGGGGAGCATTACTGGGGTGACGGCACGCGTGCCCACAGAGAGGGCTCCGAGTGCCGCCTCTGGCATGCGTGCCATAGTTTCGCCACCACTGCCTTATAATAAAAATAGTACTAGCTTGTTACTGGCAGAGGAGGCATGCTGCAGGCCCTATCAGCCAGAGTATTCTGGCTGATGAGGTCCAGGAGAAGGGCCTTCTCTGTCGTTGCACCTGCTTTTTCTGGAACATCTTGTCACCCAGAGGGAGGTCAAGCTCAACCTTCCTGACCTTCCATAAGAGCCTAAAGACCTGGCTCAGCCAGCTAGCTTGGGGCTACAGTAGGGTAGCATCACAGTTTTTTGGGGGGTAGGATGCCCATTTTAATGTAAATATATTCCTATTTTTGTTTATTAATTTAATCTTTATATGGCCTCCCTCTGGTTATAGGGATATCAGCATCTCCATAGCAATCTTCAACTCTACACCAGGGGTTGGACTAGATGACCTCCGAAGTCCCTTCCAACTTTATCATTATTATTATTATTAAAAGCAATAAAATGTGGGCAACCTGCTTCTCTATTAGGTTTCAGTCCTCAAAGCTGTCATAAAAAGAACAATTTCAAAAGCCAAGAGAAAGGAAGCCAAATTTATCTTCAGAGCCAGCACCTTTCATAGATTTGGCCACAGCCAAGAAGGTGTGTATTGTGGCCCACACTAACTTTTTTTAATGTGAGGCTTGCTGATCTAAGAGGATGATCACGCACATTTTAGAAAAAGTGCAATGTTTCTCAACCTGGGTCACTTTAAGATAGAGTCAAGGTTGAGAAACACTGGGCTAGATTAAAGACCGGATAAAAATGGAAGTCATCCTCTGGGTTTGATGGGGTGCAGTCAGTTGGCACAAATGGCTAAATTGATTTGATATGGCATTGAAGCTGATCCTTCAGTAATGAACTTCCAAGCTGAATATTGGCCACCAGTTTTCCCTGTAAATATTAATGTAGCTAATTAACTAATCAGACTTCACTTTCTCCTTGAGCCCCCAGGAGCAGAAAACTGTTCACAGAAATCATTAACCTCCTTTGGGTTGCTTTGAAAAAGCAGGTTTTAATCTGCATCAAAGTCAGAAGTTCAAAAGTAATCCCAATTAAAGACTCAGACTTGAAAAATCTAAAGTAAGTGAAGAACTAAAAACAGCCCCAGAGTTACAGTATAATATGCAGCACGCTTCATGCATATGATTCAAATGACATCCTAAGTCAAAGAGGAGACATGTCCTTAGGGGCATCAGAGTGGGAGGAGGGATACTGGCACCCCTGGACTTACCACTGGTCACTTAACAACCATTCAACATTGCAATGGATCTTCTGGGGTACCTTATGATCCAGTTTTGAAGTTCTGGTGTTCCCCTCCACCCATCCCTGTGTTGCCACATGTCAGGCGCTAAGCAAATGGCTCTACATTTACGATAGATAGATAGATAGATAGATAGATAGATAGATAGATAGATAGATAGATAGATAGATAGATAGATAGATAGATAGATAGATAGATAGATAAGAAAGAGATGATGTACAGTAGATGGATGGATAGATAGACACAGACAGACAAACAGAAGAGAGGAGCGGACGGGGAGATACCCTAATCCTAGACCAGGGAACAGTTATAGGTCTCCATAAGATGTTTCAGACACCTAGAAGCTAAGTCATTGGCTATTATCATTCTTAATTCTTTCTCACCCCCACCCCCTTCTCTCTCTCTCTCCCCTAAAAAAATCTCAGTGTTTGCTAATATCACAGGTGTGAGAATTAAAGTAGCCACTGGACTTCAAGTAGTGCCCTTATCTATCAAATAAAATAAAAATATGGGGGGAATAACTATTTATTTATATTTCATCTCCCTCAGACTCGTAATCTTGATTGAGATTTCATGTGATACCCTCCAATCTCATGAGATCTTATTCAAGAATACCCCACACATACTGCTTGAAAGTCTGGACAATCTGATCTATGAGCTCATGAAATGTCTTCTCCTCTCCACCCTCCTTCTCCTCCTCCTTTTAGCGCTCAAGTCATAATGCAGGAGTGTCTGGGACATTCAAGGATATCAACCTTTCACTTAGTTATTAGCTAAGCTTCTCTTTCTGCAGAAAAGAGCACAGATGATTGTTGTGGGTTGCACAGAAATGCTTTTGGTGGAATGGGCAGGTATTCAAAATTTGTTTAATAAATAAATTAAAGGCAGCCCTAAAAAAATGGCTGCACCTTTTCTTTCTTTTTTTCATCACATAGCCTTCATTGTAATTGCAGACTTCTTTGCCTGATGTAGAGTTCAGCACCAACCAAATTTAGGAGGCCTCTAAGTCCTCTGTCACTTCCTCTGAGGTCTCTGGTTGCCCAAGTCTAACAAAATGACAAATTGCTGTATTGACGTCTGTTTGCCATATTAATAATCTTGCTTTTTTCTGACCAAAAAAAATCTGTGTATGTTATCTATTAATACTCACAGGCGTAGGAGTGTCTTTGCTTTCCTAACTCTGTTACCCTCCTGCCTTTGGACTGATTATCTCTTGGCATTTTATATTAACCCTTGGTAAGTCACGTTATCTTCTTCTACTTAACAGTCAGTAATCAAAGCCAGCATCCCCAACTTGTTGCTCTCCAGATGTGCTCAACCACTGTTCCATCTTCCACTGGTAAGCACAGACAGATGTAAATCTGGAGAACACCAAGTTGGGAGGAAGGCTGAACAAACAAGTCTCCTTTCTTGATAGGTTTGATTAATTAATCTGAATTTTCCAAAGTGCGAATGCATTTTATATCTTGGAATCAAAAGATAAAAAGTGTTGCAAACCACATCTAGTTTCGGAATCTTGTCACTGCATGTATACGTGCTTTGATTTAGTATGACTGTGATATAGGGCAGGGCTTTTCAACCTTTTCACCCATTGCACCACTTTTAGGATATGGCAACATCCGAGTACCACCAGTCGCCTAGCAAGGTATCAAAAACTTGATGACCAAAAAAAAAAAAAAGGAAAAAAGTGATAAAGTACAGGTAGTCCTCGACTTACAACAGTTTACTTAGTGACTGTTCGAAGTTACAATGGCACTGAAAAAAGTGCCCCCCAAGCCACAGCCGAGCAAGACACCTGCCTGCCCATCCGGCGGCGCTCTTCCTCCTGTCCGAGGTTTTCATTGTTGTGAGCATTTCTGTTGAGGATTGGCAGCAGGGGTGGGGGGGGTGTTTGGTTTTTATTTCCCCCCCCCATCTGCTGGGTGGTTGCAGCAGGTTTTGGTCACTTCACATGACCCTGGGACACTGTGACCTTCATAAATATGAATCAGTTGCCAAGCATCTGAATGTAAATCACAAGATCCTGGAGATGCTGCAACATTCCAGCTGACCGGTGCTTCTTCTGGGCTCAGCAGAAGCGCTAGGATCAGCGCTGAGCTCCAGCTGGAGCCTGGCGCTGATCCTAGCGCTTCCACTGAGCTCTGACAGTCCCGAAGAAGCGCTGATCCTGGCGATCCGCTGAGCCCTGACAGCCCTGCAGCTCCAGCCATCTCTCGCTCAGGCTTGTGCAGTGCTGCCACTGGTTCAGCTCATTCCCCTCCCCCGCTACCACTTTTCTAGGATGGTCGTGTACCACCTGCCAGGTGCCAATGTATCACAGGTGGTACCCGTACCATTGGTTGAAAAGCTCTGATATAGGGCACATAATATTCATCATCTAAACATCTGCCTTGCTTTAAGCAAATATATTCTTGGCCTGCTAGAGACAACAGTCTACCTTAGAGCTGTTGTGATTTTTTTTTTAAAATTATCCAGTTTGCTTTTAAGCCCTTCTACCAGGCAGTAAAATATAGCAATGATAAGTAAAAAATATGACTGCAAAAATGTCCCTGCTTTGGGACTGAAAATCAGGAATTTCATCCTGCTTAAATGTAGGGCTGGTTCTGAAGCAGACAATGGGGAGTGAGGAGATGGATAAGTTTTCATTGTCCAGATAAACCCACAAGCAAGTTAGATCCTTGCAGAATAAGAATGTTCACACATGCATGTTAAATTGTCGACATTGATGCATTTCTGTTATTAGAAAGAGTGTATGATTGATTGTGTGCTACCAAGTCAGTGCAACCACATAGATAGGTTTTTCTACAGGATACATTAGAAATATTACAGCCACAGAACTGGAAATGAGACTTAACTAATGGAATGTTTTTGTCTTTTTTCTTGCAGGAGTAAAAATGGATTGAAGAAGAAAAAGCTGACCAAGTATGCCCATTTTATAAATATCAATTATTTAATTAATGTCTCAGTATTTTTTTTTCATGCATTTGCTTATAAAAAATAGTTTGGCATTAGGGTAGAAATGTCCAAGAAAAGAAAAGTAAAAGTTTTCCAGGGCTGAAAATCATAAGCATAAAGCTCAAAAGCTTGAAGAACAAAAGAAAGAAGAGGGCGCTTTTTTGAAATTCCTAACAAAATCAGAAGATGAGCCACACCACAGAGGGCACCAGATTATGACTTTGTAATTCCCCAAAATTCTATAATCAGCCCTGCAAGAATTCAATTTTCAATTTTGGAACCTGCATTGCTTGTCCTTGCTCAAGGGTTCTCCAAAACCTGGATTTGTCACTGAAAATGACATTCTGTCATGAGAAACTGTAAGTTTCCATTTTCACAGCAGATCCTTCATGATAACAATGTTCTTGACAAATGGAAAATTAAGCACTGGGAAAAAATCAATTATCTCATGTTAACAATTCCCCAAGGGGCTTGTCTTTGGTTGGTTCTCATAAAGTGGGGCTCTCATAAAGAAATGAAGGTTGGGGGGCGAAGGGAAAAAAAACCAGGAACATTCCTGTTATCAAACTGTTCCATCACTCAACACGGTTGCTAATTATTCACTGGATCATTAATGAGAGCAGGTAAACAGCGGTAATTAATTGTTGATAAGAGACAGGTTCCCTGTGATTTTGTTGCTTTAAGGAAAAGAAACTCATAAGTGTACTCTAATCTTCACAAATTGGAGCACAGAAATTAGACAAGAAGAGTGATTGACTTTTCTTCATTACACCCTTGATTTACAACTGTTTGTTTAATTACTGTTTGAAGTTATGATGGCCCGCCCCAAAAGACAACCCAGTTTCAAAGTTATGATGGCTGTACACAGAGATACAAGTTATGATGGCTGTACACAGAGATACACACACACACACACACACACACACCCTACAGTCACATGATCACAGTTTAGGCCCTTGACAACCAGCACACCTTTATGGCCGTTTGTAGCTTCCGGTGGTCACGTGACTGCAGTTTTCAATGTTTTTGCCTGTTTCTGGCATTAACTTTAGATTATGGCAAAAAAAAAATGCCTGTAGTAATCACCTCACAGCTATGACATTTGCTTAACAACCACCACAAAAAAATAATCAAAAAATCGATCACATGATGCCTCCATTTACAACCGTAAACAATTTACAACCGTAATTCCTGACTCAGTTACGGTGGTACGTTGAGGACTACCTGTATTCAGGAAATAAGAGGTTAGAACAACAGGATGGGATCCTGACCTGGGAGAAGTTTTTAGAGACTGAGTCCTACTGGAAGTAATCACTAAAGCAGTGATGGTGAACCTATGGCATGCGTGCCAGAGGCAGCATGCAGAGCCCTCTCTGTGGGCACACGAGCCATTGCCCCAGCTCCGCCTTCCCCGTGGCCCCCTCCTCACCAGCAGCCCCCCCGGAGGAGAGTTGCCCCTGGGCACAGCCCGCGCAGAGCAGAGCAGCCAAGGACATGGCAGCCAGGCAGCAGGGACAGGACTCCACCCTCGTGCCCCATTGCACACAGATAATGCTGTGGGGCACGGGTGGAGGGCATGGCTGCCATGGCGCTGCAGGACCACCTGGGCGATCTGCTGCAGTGGGCCGTGGAGGCTGTAGATGGCCCTGTGGGTGGGTGGGGTGGGAGGCAGACCGGGGGCGGGGTGGAGCAGGCGGGGCGGGGGCGGGTGGGGGTGTTTGGGGGCACTCAGTGTCTAAAAGGTTCGCCATCACTGCACTAAAGCTTCAAATTTCCTAATAGCAGATGAGGTAATAACCCTGGCTTGGATTGTAATATTTTGGGTAGTAGAGTTACATGTGAATGTAACTTTGCCTCTGGCCAAATGTTGAGGGTTAAAATAAAATATTGGGGAAAGGGATTCTTCCTGCTATATGATTTCACATATACATGCGAAACAGACCTTAGATGTCTTTAGGGGAAGGCGAGATGGTGCAAAAGACAGGTGTGTCATGACAGGCAAAGACATGATTTTCATCAGCAGTCATGACACAAATTGCGTTGTGGAGTGATGGTCCACTTTTGATATTACTGTGGCTTGTGACACATGCCTGGGGATGCAGAATTCAGTCAGGTGAAGGGCCCTTCCCTTCTTGTGGTATGACATGAGGTAATTCTAATACTTTTATCAGCTCACCTACTATTTGTGGGAAGGAGGGCTGGCTTTTATTTATTTCATTCCATCTTATTCTAGATAAGACATCAACAGAGAAGAGATGCATGTGAGTGAGGACACTGGGACTGTCTAGCTCTCTCTGGAATATTTTTTTTAAAAAAAACCAGACCATTCTGGCCTCAGTTCTGTAATGTCTATCTGACATATCATATTTTATTGATTTTTCTCTCATCCAGTTCCAAGTTAGTTGGATACAGAAATAAATTACTTCTTCAACTTCCTGCTTCAATTACCAGATGGTGACTTTTGTGAATAACATAATTTTCTTTCATTCTTTCTGTATGCCTTTTTTAAAAAGCCCTGTCCAGCTGGATGATTTTGACAGCTACGTCAAGGATATGGCTAAAGATTCGGATTACAAATTCTCTCTGCAATTTGAGGTAATCCTAGCTCAGATATTGACTGTTTAAATTATATGGAAGTAAATGAGTAAATGACCAAATAGTATTCTTAGACTTTTCCAATTCAAAGTGTGTGTGGGGGGAGGGATTATTACTTTTTAAATATTTTAAATATTTTCCTTCAATTTCTTTTAAAAACTTTCCATGCATGAAGAAGAGAGATTTCATAGTTTCCTTTAAGCAGGGAGATAATCTAACAGCCATCCTTTTTTATATGTTTTCATTGTGGGAGAAAAGACCTAATAGAGTGGTACCTTGGTACTCATCGTTAAATGGTTCTGGGAGGTATGATGAGTACCAAACAAATTTTTCCCATAAGGACTAATGCAGTGAGACACAAGGTTGCCGAGATCGACAAGTTCTAGCTTGTGCATCGAGTATCAAACAAACGTTGAATATTGGGATGAAATTTTCATGTCAAAAATAGAATAGAATAGAATAGAATAGAATAGAACAGAATGCCATGGCATGGCATGGCATGGCATGGCATGGCATGGAAGGAACCTTGAAGGTCTTCTAGTCCAGCCCCCTGCTCAAGCAGGAGAACCTATACCATCTCAGACAAGTGACTGTCTAGCCTCTTCTTAAAAATCTCCAGTGATGGAGTGCCCACGATTTCTGAAGGCAAGCTGTTCCACTGGTTAATTGTCCTCAATGTCAGGAAGTTTCTCCTTAATTCCAAGTTGCTTCTCTCTTTGATCAGTTTTCAACCATTGTTTCTTGCCCTCTGGTGCTTTGATGAATAACGTGACCCCCTCTTCTTTGTGGCAGTGTCTCAAATACTGGAATAATGCTATCATGTCTCCCCTATTTCTTCTTGCTGAAATCTAAGTATACTACATCCACAGCATTTTGCTGGTCTACTAGTTTAGTCACTTTATCAAAGAATGAAATAAGATTGATTTGGCGTGATCTGTTTTTAATAAACCTTTGCTGGCTACTGGTTATAACTTTGTTTGCTTCTGGTTGTTTGCAGATCTGTTTTTTGATTATCTTTTCTGGGATCTTCCCAGGTATTGATGTTAAACTGATTGGTCTGTAGTTTCCTGGATCCATTTATGTCTAAGCATAATGTGCCTGTGTTTGTGTGTTACACTCAGGAACTGAAACTGATTGGGCTGGAAACCCCACATTTTGCAGCGGATCTTCCCATGAATCGCAGTAAAAACCGCTACACAAATATTCTGCCTTGTAAGTTGTTCTTTTAGGAGGGAATTGCTGTATGTAACACTAGACTTTGTACTGGCATCCAGATGGCATGGAATGCCAGCACCAAAGGGTAGCATTGTTGGGCAACTACCAAGACTATATCAGCATATTTTGCCATCATATTCTCTGTTAGCCTACTTGTCCACTTAACTTGATCTTTCCCTCTGAATGATAGTAAGAATAGGAGAAAATGTACTGCATGGTACTATTTTATTTATTCAATTGATGCTACTGCCTTTTCTTGAGTATAAAAGCATAGCACTCCTGTGACTTACATTCCTATCATTTTTTTATATTTAAATTATCCCATAGTGAAATTTCCTTCCTTCCTTCCTTCCTTCCTTCCTTCCTTCCTTCCTTCCTTCCTTCCTTCCTTCCTTCCTTCCTTCCTCAATACTTAAACTTTATATAGAACTGCAGATGGTTTTATCGTCTTGAATGTTACTCCAAGTGGCACATCTGTTTTTTGATTGGCTTAAAGTGGGGGAGCGGGGGGAGAAAAGAGACTGACCAAACTNCCTTCCTTCCTTCCTTCCTTCCTTCCTTCCTTCCTTCCTTCCTTCCTTCCTTCCTTCCTGGAATAAGAGTAGCATTTTACATTTTAAGCAATGTGCACCTATGCACAGACAGATACACCATACAATAGCATATTCTCAAGTGTTCTTTGAAATGTCAATGTGCTCCTGGCAATCCAAAAGTAAAGGATTTTTCTGGGCAGTAGTAATAAGGTATTTTCCCCTGCCCTGCATACAAAAATTGTGAATGTATTGAAATATAAGCTACTGCAAATTGCTTGGTTCTTGATTTTCCCCCAAATCCATGCAAATGTATGTAAAACTTTCAGAGACTTAATTCCAAAATTTGTGATATGTTTTTATGTTGAATTCATTATTGGATATGTTGCCTTTTTGCAGATGATTTCAGCCGTGTTCAGTTGGTTTCAATGAATGAAGAAGAAGGCTCTGACTACATTAATGCCAACTACATCCCTGTAAGTAACCTGGACTCAGATAAGTATTTTCATAGCTTGGGAAATACTACTCATAATGTAATAGCAATAGCACTTAGATTTATATACCATTTCACAGTGCTTTACACCCTCTCTAAGCAGTTTATAGAATCAGCATATTGCCCCCAACAATCTGGGTCTTCATTTTACTGACCTGGGAAGGATAGAAGGATGGGTCAACCTTGAGTTGGTCAGGATCAAACTCCAAGCAGTGGGTAGAATTAGACTGCAATAGTGTATTTTAACCACTATACCACCACAGCTCTTGTATGTAAACAGTTAAAATTGTTCCTTCTAGTAGCAATTCTAGTTTATGGCATGCCAATTAGCGCCTAAGTGAACAGAATCATTTAAACATAAGAACAGTTGCTTCTGCATATTTAGGGACTGCAATACATGCACAGCACATGTATGTAAGATAAAATTAGAGGCAATAACCTCCCACTTGCCTGATGGATTTAACTTTGCAAACATGATGGTCCAGTAATGCAAGAAAACAAATGATATCTGATGCTGGATACACAGGATAGATCCTGGAGGACAGCAGAAATAGGCATAGGATGATCCTGGACATTAAGCAAAACTGGATCAGGATTTGAAATGAACTAGACATTTGTGTGTGCCACCTGTCCAAGGTAGAGACAACTAATACCCACATTCAGAGTTGCTGCAATTTCAGAAAAAAAGGGCACTGGGTATACAAAAGGTTACCTAAAGATTCACAAAATTTAAGGGCAACGTTTACGTAATAATTAATCATTCTGCAGATATCCTTGCGAAGGAGCTATAGTCTGATGTGATTTAACAGGCACTATTTATTTAAAAAAATGTATCAATAAAATAATACTGGAGTAAGCTTTTTCTTTTGTAGGGTTATAACTCTCCACAAGAGTATATTGCAACACAAGGACCACTCCCTGAGACAAGGAATGACTTTTGGAAGATGGTTCTCCAACAGAAGTCACAAATCATTGTTATGCTTACTCAGTGCAATGAGAAGAGAAGGGTAGGTAGACTGAGCAGGGCATTAGATAAAATAATATCTGAGGTCACTTCCTGTTCTGTGATGCTAGATTCTTTCATGCCTCTTGGAACAAGGAGTCTTGCTAAAATTCTATATCTAGCATTATATCCGTGTGTCCCTCTGAGTCATTTTTTGACTACTGGAAACTGCCTGCACAAGTTCCTGCAGTCTTCTCAGCAAGATTTTGGAAATGGTTTTAGGGCTGAGAAGGACTGGCCCAAAGTCACTGATCAGGCTTTGTGGCTAAGACTGTACTAGAACTCACAGTCTCTCAGTTTCTAGCCCAGTGCCATTAGCTACTCCATTAAACTGGCTAACCTTCTTGCTGGCCCAACTGTTCTTTCCTCCAACACTTTTATTGGAAAATGATGATTCATCCTTATTAGCTGTTCTTACAACACAACTAAAGGAATTGATTTATTGATTTATCTGTAGTGCCACATTCATCTCAGATACAGCTGTTTTTTTATTGTACAATCCCAAATATTTTTGGAAACAGACTTTTAGCAAATTTACGATAGATAGATAGATAGATAGATAGATAGATAGATAGATAGATAGATAGATAGATAGATAGATAGATAGATAGATAGATAGATAGATAGATAGATCTAGTTAAAATATATTGTATGTGTATATGTATATATAGCTGAAACCGATGGATGGATGGATGGATGGATGGACGGATATATATAGATAAAATCTCCATCCATTCCACTGGCTTCAGCTATATATACATATAATTAGCACACAAAGTAGATGGATGAATGGAATTAAAATTAACCTCAATCAGACACACTTTATATATGAAAGTTGGAAGGGACCTTGGAGAAGGTCATCTAGTCCAACCCCCCGTTCAGGAAACCCTATACCATTTCAGACAAATGGCTGTCAGTCTCTTCTTAAAAACTTCCAGTGTTGGAGCATTCACAGCTTCTGGAGGCAGGTTGTTCCACTGGTTAATTGTTCTAACTGTCAGGAAGTTTCTCCTTAGTTTTAGGTTGCTTCTCTCCTTGATTAGTTCTATATATATACAATACTATTTGTTTTCTGACTAAAGACCTACATACAATACTATATATATACAATTAGTACACAAATTGTGTCTGATTGAGGTTAAATTTAATTCCTTGGGAATTAACAAATTAAGTTTGTTTCCCCCTTTTGCAAACTCAAACAATAAACCATCTTGCTAATCTTGACCTGTTATTCATACGGGCTAACAAAACTGGAAGAGAAATCTTAGATAGCCACTTCACCCAATATAGGCCACACTGAGCTAGACAGACCAGCAGCCTAATTCAGCTTAATTATTGTAGACAGGTTTGTTTCTCTTTCTTTTTCTCAGTAGTACCTAATACAAAAGAGACAAGCACTGTCCAACTCAAAATAACCCCCACAATGAAGGGGTTGCATTGGGGTTTTCTGGATAAAAGGGTTGTGTTTATGTCTGGATTTGCACGTTACTTCCTTGGATTCTTTCATCCACTTTGGTGGTTGCTAAGGGAAACCTTTTAAAAGCTTTGTTACTCTGTGGTAACTTTGCTTTGTTTTTCCTCCTTTCCAGGTAAAATGTGACCATTATTGGCCTTTTGCGGAAGAGCCGGTTCTTTATGGAGACATCACAGTGGAGATGCTTTCAGAAGAAGAACAAGCTGACTGGATGTACAGGAACTTCAGAATCAGCTATGTAGGTCAATACAGATGGTGTTAGGCAGCTTATAGGTGTTAGGAATTCTCCTCCATTAATACACTTCAGCGGGCCGAAATCTAACGTGGAAGATGGAGCCCCATCTTCCTGCATCCGTTTCACCGCAATGTCAAACCAGAAGTCAAAGTGACTACCTGTATATTCTATGACGTGTGTATGTGTGTGTGTGGGGGGGGGTTCCATTCATCTTTCAGACCTTCCTGCTCATCTAAGTTTTCATTTACTTGAGATGGTCTTTTTTTAATCAGCAAATACCGCTGAATATGTTAAAAAAAAAAAAGTAATTATATGGCTCTGATAGTCCTTTGTGTTTCTTCAAGTTCCCAGTGTGAAGTCTATTACTCTGGATTTCATAATCCTCTCATGCCATTAGGTCTGACCTTATTTTGCTTTTCTGCGATCAGCCAAGGCTGCCTGGGTGTTATCATCTCTACTTCCCTCTGTGTTTAAATTAAACTGCTGAAAAAGAAAGCTTGGATGATCTAGGGGGAATTGTGTGCACCATTCAGTTCTCAGATCAGATTCCTGGATTCCCAATAGTCTTATATTCAATATTTGTTTTTTGCGCAAGACATTGGTTTCTGGGTCTAGAGGCCCTAAACTAGAACAAAATCTAGACACAATCCACATGTTAATATTACATAAACAATACTTTCCTCTATGTATATATCTAGGTACTGTATGTGTTTGGGCAGGTTTAGCTGCTTCTGCTTGCCTCAGTTTAAAAGCAATAATCCAAAATCTCAGTCAAGAGACCTTGGATCTTAACACAAGACAGATACAGTAAGTCCTCAATTTATGACCATTTATTCAGCTGCCATTCAAAATTATGTTGGTGCTGAATGAAGGGACTTATAACCCGTCCCCGAACTTATGGCTGCTGCTGTGCCCCCCCCATCTTTGCATGGACAAAATTTGCCTTTTGGAAAGAGAAGCAGCTAATCCATCATGCAGCCTTCCTATAAGGAGGCCGCTATGTGCCATTCTGGAAGCGAGCACCATTTTGGGAGTATCCGCAATTCATTGGCTACTTCTCCTTGGGAAAGGCAATCTTTGGGAATGGTAAGTGGGGCAAGGCATGACTGGAAGAGGTGGGTGGAGGAGGCCCCAAAGCTTTCAACATGTGCCTCAACAAGTGGGGGACAGGAAACCCTGCAAGGGGTGCCTCACCAGGTGGGAGTGTCCAGGGCAAGCTAGGGAGAAACTGCAACATGGGCCTGTGGCCTCCCAGCACCTCCCCCACCCTGAGACACCTTGTGTTCCGTTTAACGACTGCAATTGTACAGCTGGGATTATGGTTGTTAAGCAAGGCAATCATGTGGGCGCCTGAAGGCAGGACAAGAAGCAATGGATGGAAACTAATCAAGGAGAGAAGCAACCTAGAACTAAGGAGAAACTTCCTGACAGTTAGAACAATTAACCAGTGGAACAACCTGCCTTCAGAAGTGGTGAATGCTCCAACACTGGAAGTTTTTAAGAAGAGACTGGACAGCCATTTGTCCGAAATGGTATAGGGTTTCCTGCCTGAGCAGGGGGTTGGACTAGATGACCTCCAAGGTCCCTTCCAATTTTACTACTACTACTACTACTACTACTACTACTACTACTACTACTACTATTACTTGATTAACCATTGCCACAACGTAGGACTATATTTCTGGGCTCAGTTGTGGCTGTAAGTTGAGACTCCCTATAGTCATATCATGGGAAAACCTCCCATTTATTAATTAGCCAACCACTTTATCCAAGTGAGACGGGCAGTAAACAAGTGTAATATGTAAATAAAGTAAATAATCCCCTGCAAAGTAGAAAGTTGGACTGGAGACTCTTACCCAACTCTGTGCTTTGATGATCTTAACCTGTGTAAGTGCCCACTTACTGGCAATGGCAGATGTTATTCTGGAACCTTTGTGTTTTGCCTTCCACGCAGGCAGATGAAGTGCAGGACGTGATGCATTTTAATTACACCTCTTGGCCCGACCACGGTGTTCCTCCCACCAACGCAGCAGAAAGCATTTTGCACTTTGTACATACGGTCAGGCAGCAGGCAACGAAAAGCAAGGGGCCCATGATTGTACACTGCAGGTAAGTTCTCCCCACCCCCACCCCTCAGATGTGGAAGATGTGAACATAACATAGCCAGAAGAACAACGTTGTGTTGCTTCCTGCTCACTAGCAAATGTGTGGGGGGTTTTTTGTAGTGAAGGGGAATGAGAAGGGATATGCCAGCTTTCCTTATTAGAAGTTGCATTCTGTTTGTTAGAGAGCTCATTGAAGTCTCCAAATTGTGGGTCAAAGAGCTTTTCTACTGACAGGCTGTTTCTGTGCCTTTTAAGATGCTTCGATGGGAGAGTTTCACTACATGCTGTCACTTGCCACATTAATTTTTCCTACATTACCAGTGCTTGGTTTTAGGAGTGCCACTATGTATAGCTCCTTATTTGGGGAGAAATTGTGAAGAGGAGCATGGCAATCGTTTCACTATGCTGAAAATCCCAGAATTTCATATGTCTTTATCCACTTCTGTGGTTTTAGGCGAACCCTAAGGCTATCAGCTTAAATTACATTTGAATAGAAAAATAGATTTCTCCCCCTCCGCCTCCTTTTCCTGTTCCTCCTCTTTCTTCTGAAAATACAATATTCCCAGCACAATCTGTATTTAATTATGATCTCAAACAGTCAATCACTGTCCTAATATAGTATTCTTCGGTCTTATTCATTTGCATAAAACAGTTGTCAATCACCCCATCATGAGACCCTGAAGGTCAGAATAACTTACAAAATTCAGAAATGAAACAGTTCCTGCCTGTAGATCTACAGATGAAAACATATGATTTGGTCAGGAAAGAGATTAGGTGAGAGGAGGAAGCCCACTAATTCAGGCTCTTAATTTTTGATGGAAGTCTAGTAGCTTACGGGCTAAACTCTAAGCACAATGGCTTAGATGCTACTGAAGCCCTCATGCAGATGGCCTTGAACTGCAGGAAAGGCTGGATGAGCAATGTAAAATGAAACCTACCCTGGATTTCTGTGGGAAGTGATTGTCCGAATGTGCTGAACAGGATGGAACTGGAGTTTATCTTTTTCTGATTCAAAACATGCAGAAAAACATGAGGGAATTGCATATGGAAACCAACCAGATTTGTTCTTTTCCTCAAATGCGATGGATGATGAAGAGAGGCCCAACCATCAGCTTCTTATAGGCATGGCCAAACCCCCATCCTTAATCACGACACTATCAAATACTTGAGTTTTTCCCCTCTGGTATATTATCAAGAGAAATGCTTTAAAAATCATTAGCACTTCCCTACTTAGGTTTCCCAATATACACCAAAGGATGTGTTGTAATAACAATGAACATTAGAGGGTGGGATATATGGTATGCTGTGATTATGGATATTTATGGAGTTTATAAGATTTCCCAGAATAGAAGGCAAAATGAGCCTATTTCTCCACTCATAAGCAATGGTGTGTAACGCTATGTTTGTTTTGCAGTGCTGGTGTAGGACGAACCGGGACCTTCATAGCATTAGACCGGCTTTTACAGCACATTCGTGATCATGAATTTGTAGATATATTGGGAATGGTGTCCGATATGAGGTCTTATCGGATGTCCATGGTTCAGACAGAGGTATGACTTTTACTTATGCATGTTTCAAATAGCCAGATTGATTCATTTATTCGCTCGATGCCTCCTTTGGTTACTCAGAAACGTATAGGCCTTCATCCTGCAGTGGATAGGCAGTGGCTAGAATGATGATTAGAAAGTATAGAATATTGAACATCACACTATAAAAGATGTAACCGGCATAAATGGAAAGCACTGAAACCAGGGGGAGAAGATAAAGCAGCTGTGCCTACAAAGGGTGAACATCTGTGAGAGTGCAAACATGGCATCACCACCATCCTTTTTGCCTATATATTTATTAGCTTTATCCCAACTTTCATTCAGGAGTTCAAAGCAATGTACACAGAGCTCCTTCTGTCTTGGCAGCCATGTGTAGCGGATCAGGCCGAGAGAAAATGGCCTCAACCATGCAATGGAAGGGATGTGGACCTGGTTTTGGGAATGCAGAAGGAAGGAGCGAACCGTTAAGGAGAGAAATTTTGGGAAAGATTACTCAGTCCTAAGAAAGAGGAAAACATGAGAAAAAAACCTCAAGAACCCCACCTTGGTTTGGTATAAAAAGAGATATAAGATGGGGCAGAAAGAAACGCTGACAGGCTTTCAAGATTCTGTTATTCTACCCAGCAACTATAAAAACCATGGTTGAAACCATACCTGTTTTTTGGTCTGTCTCAAAGAGTTAACATGCAAAAACCATTCGTTACTGAGGTGGGCTTGAGCCATATATCTGCGTGTGCATGTGCAGACAGACGTACAGTACAGACACACATAATCTAGAACCAGTTCCTTGACATGCTAAGTTTTATGGGCAGTTGTTTTAATGTATTAATTTCTGAGGGAGAAGTTAAACATGACTTCCCCTCTCAAAACCCCCACTGCAATCTGAGATGGTACAGTCCAGCACCAATTTTACATTGCTATTTGCATCGTAATCCAAGTGTTATTTTAAAAAATAATTCTATTACAATTTTTTTTAAAAAAAAAATACAGAGACAGCAATATACAGAATGACTAATACACAAACCCAACAAATTATTTTATTGGTCAAGCATAACAAAAGTCACACCATCAATTAGGAAAAAAACAGTAAACAGGGTCATACTAAATTGATATACATCCGTTAAATACGTTATTAAGACTGTATGAAGTTAGGTATAAAATTGTTCATTCTTGTAAAATGTTACAAAATCTGTGCCAGAGGGAAATATATTGTATTGTTTTTGGATTACTAGAACAAAATAGCCTTTTCAAAAAAAAAAAAAAAAGGTAAACATTCCTTGAATCCAGAATTTCATGTGGGATAATAGTACTTTTCCATTTTTCCAAAATAATTCGGTTGGCTGTTCCTTATGCATCCGAGTCATTGTTACCACCTTGAAGGTCAGGTCTGATGCTGGTCCTTTTAGATACCTTCATTTTCCATTTGTTTGTCGCATTGTTTTCAATTAACCTTTCTTCCAAAATATCCACAGATGAGTTATTGTCAACTTTTGTAGGGATGCTGAAATCCTGCTGTTTGCCAGCTGCTCAAACCTTCTGTTTCTCTGGCAAAGCCATGTTATGTCTTGCCTCCTTCTCGTCTTACACACAACCTCAGTAGGGTGCTGTCATGCTTCAACAAATCAGGTCTGGCTTATTGAATGTCCCAAATGTGTGACAGCATGAAACCCCAAAGAAACAGGATACTATGCATTGAATTGCCCAGATTGGAACAGTAGGAGAATTAAAAGCATGCTTTTATCACAGCTTACAATCTGGGTAGTTGTATCCCCAACACTAGATCGGACAAGTCAGGTTTGCTGTTCTTGAGTTTTATTATTTGGATAACAGTTTTGTTTGATGCCCTGTTAAGTTTGACACACATTCCACCAAGAATTCCCAATCACTCTTTCCCCAGTGTGACACTGTTCAACTGCAGTGCAGGCAACACACCTGGTTAGTGTCAGGTCACTACTCAGATTTGGGCTGCAAATATTCAGAACCACCAAGTGTTGGCAATAAAGAGTTGATGTATTTCTTGGCTGCCTCCTGCTAGTCATCTGCATTTTTCCAGTTGTGTTAGTCCTAGAACAAGGGTAGGCAACCTCGGCTCTTTTATGACTGGTGGACTTCAACTCCCAGAATTCCTGAGCCAGCATGGCTCAGCTTGGAAACCTCTCCCTTTCCCCTCAGCATGGCTGGCTCAGGAATTCTGGGAATTGAAGTCCACCAGTCATAAAAGAACCAAGGTTGCCTACCCCTGTCCTAGAACAACAAAAAGTTGGGAAAAATGTTCTAACCTTTTCATCCACTTATTCATGAGTATATCTATCCTCATGTCCAGAGCAAGCTGAGCTGTGAAAAACTCACTTACCTAGGTTTGGCCACTAGATGTCAGTATCCTTTTAAGGAGCAAATTTTGAGCAGCTTCTCTGAATTCGTTTCAGTATAAACCTGCAAATCAAACAACGTTCTCTTTCCACCTGGTTTCAGGTTTCTTTATACTGTGGAAAATTAATCCTCTAGCTTCATCACGTGGCCATAACCCTCCTTGATGAAACAGAGGCAAATATTGTGAACTCATGGGCTGTAAATTGGCACTTTGAAGGATATTTTTAACATCCCCCAAACCTGTAGTATCTAGAGACGGTCTTGCAAATTTGAGATTCCTGTCTCTCTATGCTGGCTGGGAAGTTCTGGCAGTTGAAATCCAGACATCTTAAAGTGGCTAAGGTAGTCAAAAGAATGGTTTGCACCAGGAGTCCCCAACCCCCAGTCCGTGGACCAGTACCGGTCCGTGGCATGCCAGCAAACGGTCTGCACAAACAAGCAAAGCACCATCCGTGGGATGCAGGCAGTACACAAAACCACACACACTCTGGTCCACCGAAAAACCTTTCTCCACGGAACCGGTTCCTGTTGCCAAAAAGGTTGGGGACCTCTGGTTTAGACTACCACAGTGTTTCCCAAATTCAGCCATTTTAAGATGTGTGGACGTCAATACCCAGAACACCCATTGCTGGCTGGGTTATTCTGGGAATTAAATCCTATCTTAAAACGGCTGAAGTTGAGAAATGCTAATTTGCAGAAAAATGAAGCGAACAGAACATCAGTTAAATCATAATGTAACATTCACATCTGAATTCTGGAGGAAGTAAAGCCAAGAATGATATTTTGAGGGGCACTGACAATTCTAGGAAAGTTGGTAACAATCTTGCAATAAAGCTGGCTCTGGGACAGCAGCACAAAAATATTGGAGAGAAGGGGACCTTTCAAATATATTTATATATAAATATCTATGGGTGACTGGAGGTGTTTCTCCTTCTACAGGAACAATACATTTTTATTCACCAATGTGTGCAACTGATGTGGCTAAAGAAGAAACAGCAGTTTTGCATTAGCGATGTCATATATGAGAATGTCAGCAAGTCATAATTCCAGGTCACAGGTGGTAAGTGAAGAACCTTTTCTTGGGTGATTGTGTTCCCATGGGCTCATGCCACTGCAGCCATAAATATTAATATGAGGTCTTTATTTACTGTTCTATGCTTTGCAGTGAACCTCTATAAATCAGTTGCAGGCTGCCCTTTACAGAATAACAGAGTTTGAAGGGACTTTGGAGGTCTTCTAATCCAACCCCTACTCAAGCAGGTGACCCTATACCAGGGGTAGGCAACCTTGGCTCTTTTATGACTCGTGGACTTCAACTCCCAGAATTCCTGAGCCAGCCATGCTGAGGAGAAATAGAGAGGTTTCCAAGCTGAGCCATGCTGGCTCAGGAATTCTGGGAGTTGAAGTCCACGAGTCATGAAGGGGCCATAGTTCCCCCATGCTGGCTCAGGAATTCTGGGAGTTGAAGTCCACAGGTTGTAAAGTTGCCATAATTGTTCACCAATGAGCTAGCCCAGGGGTGGACAACCTTGGCTCTTTTATGACTCGTGGACTTCAACTCCCAGAATTCCTAAGCCAGCATGGCTCAGCTTGGAAACCTCTCCCTTTCCCCTCAGCATGGCTGGCTCAGGAATTCTGGGAGTTGAAGTCCACGAGTCATAAAAGAGCCAAGGTTGCCTACCCCTGCCCTATACCATTCCAGACAAGTGGCTTTCCAATCTCTTCTTAAAAGTCTCCAGTGATAGAGCACCCACATCTTCTGGAGGCAAGCCATTCCACTGGTTAATTATTCTGTCAGGACATTTCTCCTTACTTGCAGGTTGCTTCTCTCCTTGATTAGTTTCCATTCATTGTTTCTTGTCTTGCCTTCTGGTGCTTTGGAGAATAGGTTGACCCCCTCTTCTTTGTGGCAGCCCTTCAAATATTGCTATCATGTCATCCCTAGTCCTTTGTTTCACTAGACTAGACAAACCCAATTCCTACAACCATTCATATGTTTTAGCTTCCAGCCCCCTAATCATCTTTGCTGGTCTTTTTTGTACTCTTCCCAGAGTCTCTACATCTTTTTCATAATATGATTACCAAAACTAGATGCAGTATTCCAAGTGTGGTCTTACTAAAGCTTTATAAAGCGGTGCTATTTCACGGGATACTGATTCTGTCCCTCTGTTAATGCAACCGACGATTACATTGGCTTTTTTGGGCTGTTGTGACCTAGCAAAGACCAGAAACCTGCATCCAGGCAGCCTGTTTCAATCTTTTTTTTTTTTTTTTAAAAAGCATAATACAACAATATATTTGTATATATTATTACACTTCTTAGGGGAACAACAGCTGATCTATTAAAAAATTTCCAATAGGTGAGAGAAAACATTATCACAGCAACAGCAGTGATCATTGCTAAAAAAAGGAAAGTGTTAATGCAGTACATTGTGGATTTGCATTTGTTAATGAGCAGTCAAATTAACCACAAAGCAATTGCCTGAAATATTTGAGGAACATGAAAAGGTCTTGGTGCTGAAAAACCTTTGCAGAGATGGATTTTTTCCATAATGGTCACCAGCAGAGGGAGCCATATGATGGACAAGCCTATAAATGTCCACCTGAATGGACTTTGATTCAGCCTTATGATCAGTTGTGATTTAAAGAGCTTAAGCTTATCTTGTGCCATTTGTTTATATCCTGCTTTCTGTCCAAGAGAGATAATCAGAATGCTTTGAAAGTAAATTCAAAAGCAACAGGACTGTAACATAATTAGAATATCTACATAATAAATAAATAAATACTTCCCAAAGGTCAGGTTGGAAAGTTAATCCCCTTTCATTAAAATGGTGGAAAAGGGATCCAATCCAACTTTCTTGCCTATTCACCTTTTACTGATCAGACTGATTGATTGGATGGATATAATTCCTTTCATTCAGGGGCTTAAGATGGCACACATGCAGGACGTACCTTGTAGAGCGCCAATATCTCAGGGGCTGCCCCAAAGAAGAGGGAGTCAAGCTATTCTCCAAAGCTCCTGAAGGCAGGACAAGAAGAAACGGGTGGAAACTCATCAAGGAGAGAAGCAACCTAGAACTAAGGAGAAACTTCCTGACAGTTAGAACAATTAACCAGTGGAATAACTTGCCTCCAGAAGCGGTGAATGCTCCAACACTGGAAGTTTTTAAGAAGAAACTGGACAACTATTTGTCTGAAATGGTATAGGGCAGTGGTGGCGAACCTATGGCACAGGTGCCAGAGGCGGCACTCAGAGCCCTCTCTGTGGGCACGCGTGCCGTCGCCCCAGTCCTAGGCCTTCAGCTGGGTTTTATAAAACCTTTTCGCTTTAGGCCTCCACCGCCGTGTACAAAAAAAAAGGTTCAATCAATCACTCAATTTCAACTTCTCGCGGGGAAAAAAAAGATCTTGTAAAGTTGGAATTGATTGATTGAACTTTTTAGTCCCACCCAGTCTGCTGTTACCACCGCAGCTACACCCACCCAATCGGCCACACCCATGTAATGGGCCACACCCACCCGGCACCCGACGATGCATAAGTGTGTTTTGGGTTGCAGTTTGGGCACTCGGTCTCTAAAAGGTTCGCCATCACTGGTATAGGGTTTCCTGCCTGAGCAGGGGGTTGGACTAGATGACCTCCAAGGTCCCTTCCATCATCATCATCATCATCATCATCATCATCATCATCATCATCATCATCATCATCATCATCATCATCATTATTATTATTATTATTATTATTATTATTATTATTATTATTATTATTATTATTTAGAACTGTTCAAGCTTCTGTTTTTTTCCCTAGTAGCTTAAAATAATGAACATGGGGATCAAAACAAAAAGTAAATTAAAGTAGACATAAAACCAATACAATGCTCTGAGTTCCTTTCTGAAAGGGAAAAACAATATAGTGGTCGGTTGATTGGTTTTGATTGATCGATTCCACAGAGACCTGCAGCCATACATTTGCAAAGGGGAGATGCTCCTTATTCAGAGATCAAGCCTCTCCATTCTGCCTGATCTCCTACCTGATCCTTCCTTTAAAAGTCATCTAGCTTTCCCAGGCTACTGAACATGATTGTCCCCCCCCCCCCCGGGGCTGTTTTGTCTCCTGAAGACTGGTATAATTCTGCAACGCTAAAAGCAAATCAAAAAGAGAGGCATCCACACAGAAAGCATTTTGATGTCTTGTCAAATTAATGACAATAAAAACATATGATATGGTGCAATAATTCATATAAATATAACTAATGCAGTCAGTGAAGACAAACAATAGGTGAATAAAGGATCTAACTCCATCCAGTCATGCAAAGATGTGAATATGTAGCTTGAGAGCATGTAATATGCAAATAGGTTTGTGTGTTTAAAAGATTAAAATCCGATTGTTGGAGCATTCAGAATCAGAATGCTTCTATATTTGTAAAACTCTGGCAGCAACAGGCTTGCTGAGTGAAAATTTACTTTCAGGAAAAAGAATGTATGAAAAGGCATCTATATGCATTCATACATTGTGGCTATATCAAAGGATACTTTACATTCAAAACTCTTTTACAAACGTGTTGGTTTATTTAAGGCAGTATTTCTCAATTATGGCAACTTAAAGAGGTGTGGACCTCAATTGCCAAAATTCCCTAGCCAGTATGGCTGTCTAAGGAATTCTTGGAGTTCAATTCCACACATTCTTTAAGTCAGACATGTCAAACACAAGGCCCGGGGGCCGGATGCGGCCCGCAAAGTGGTTTCATGTGGCCCGCGAAGCCATCCTGGAAACAGTGAGGGAATGGCCTCGCTGCCTTGGCCCTGGCCCAGGCCGGCCAGGAGCCAATGTACAATTTTGTGGTGGCCATCTATGCTGAAACACATTCAGTCTTAGTTCCACAAGGCCGTCTAGAAACAGTGAGGAACTAGCCTCTGCTGTGTTGGCCCCGCCCCCTGGGTGCATGCTGGGGAGGTGTCACCCTTTGTGAGGAATGAAGAAATTCACCATGCCTTGGCGCTTGCCCCGGTCCCACCTCCTTCTGCCAGAGACCCTCAGATCTGTCCCACTCCTGCCCAGGCCCCCACAGTCACCCTTGACGCAAACGATGTAGAGCTGGCCATGCCCACACAGTAGGCCACACCCACTCTATCCATGCCAACCTAGTAGGCCGCCCCCCCTGGCCACACACCCCCACCTCCCCCCCCCCGAGGGCAACCGCAATGCTGATGCGGCCCTCAATGAAATTGAGTTTGACACCCCTGCTTTAAGTTATCAAGATTGAGAAATACTGATTTAAAGAGTGAATCTGCTAAAATATAAAGAATCATCTGAGAACGATTACACTGAATTGTATTATTGTTTAATGACAACAGCTGGATGATCTATCAACATCATCATCGGAGTTATTAAGGTATTGTTGTTCTTCCAAAGGGGACCAAATTATTACTATTATTTCTTGTTTTTCTTTCCCTTTCTTGCAGATGAAGCTGTGAAATGCATCCATCTTCCTTGGCTTCAGATTTTAATTCTCTCCCCCTTCTTTTTTTTGTTTTTGTTAACTGCTTTCCGATTTGCCATGGACAAGAGCTGCTTTGCAGTACATGGACAAATGAAAAAAAAGTATATTTTACATCCAGAAGTTCTGGGGAAACATAGCCTTAAGGAACCTGCAGTGTCTTGTTTGGACTCTTGATCAATTTTTTTAAAGTGAATAACTGGACCAAACTCAACTCGGGGTGGCATCTCAAAGGGACAATCTAATAATGTGCATAAATGTAATGTGCTCTGGATCATTTTATGTTGTTTCTGAAACAAATTTGTTTAATATTTTTTTTTAATTTAATGCACAGGTTAAACTTAAAGGTTACCGAATGTGCAATATTCCAGATTCAGTCCAAACTGCTGCGGGCTTTCTCCATGTACATCTATGGAGCAACACGGACTCTATCAAACACAGGAACAGACAGGGTTAGCATTGAGATAATAACTCATTAGCAAGGAAGGAAGATTGTAGAAGCTGGAAGACAAGCTGAAATGTTGCTACTGACACAGCATCCTTGGCGGG